CTACTCTCTCTCTCTCTCTCCTCTGTTTACTCTCTCTCCTCTACTCTCTCTTTCTTCTCTCCTCTCTCTCCTCTCTACTTCTCTCTCTCTCTCTCTCTCTCTTCTTCTTCCTCTCTCTACATCTCTCTCTCCTTCTCTCTCTCTCTCTCTCTCTCTCTCTCTCTCTCATACCTCTAAACTCTCTCTCTCCTCTCTCTCTCTCTCTCTCTCTCTCTCTTCTCCTCTCTCTCTTCTCTTCTCTCCTCTCTCTCTCTATACTCTCTCTCTCTCTCTCTCTCTCTCCTCTCTCTCTCTCTCTTCTCTTCTACTCTACTTCTCTCTCTCTCTCTCTCTCTCTCATCTCTCTCTCTCTCCCTCCTCTCTCTACTTTCTCTCTCTCTCTCTCTACTCTACTTCTCTCTCTTCTCTCTCTCTACTTCGCTCTCTCTCTCTCTCTCTCCTATACTTCTCTCTCTCTCTCTCTCTCTCTACTTCTACTCTCTCTCTCTCTCTCTCTACTTCTCTCTCTCTCTCTCTCTCTCTCCTCTACTCTCTCTCTCTCTCTCTCTCTCTACTTCTCTCCTCTTCTCTCTCTCTCTCTCTCTCCTCTCTCTCTCCTCTCTCTCTCTCTCTACTTCTCTCTCTCTCTCTCTCTCTACTCTCTCTCTCTCTCTTCTCTCTCTCTTCTACTCTCTCCTCTACTCTCTCTCTCTCTCTCTTCTCTCTCTCTCTCTCTCCTCTTCTCTCTCTCTCTCTCTCTCTACTCTACTTCTCTCTCTCTCTCTCTCTCTCTACTTCTCTTCTCTCTCTCTCTCTCTCTCTCTCTCTCTCTCTCTCTCTCTACTTCTCTCTCTCTCTCTCTCTCTCTCTCTCTCTCTCGTCTACTTCTCTCTCTCTCTCTCTCTCTTCTCTCTCTCTCTCTCTCTCTCTACTCTCTCTCTCCTCTCTCTCTCTCTCTCTACTTCTCTCTCTCTCTCTCTCTCTCTCTCTCTCTCTCTCTCTCTCTCTTCTACTTCTTCTCCTCTCTCTCTCTCCTCTTCTCTCTCTCTCTCTCTCTCTCTCTACTTCTCTCTCTCTCTCTCTCTCTCTTCTCTCTACTCTCTCTCTCTCTCTCTATCTCTCTATCTCTCTCTCTCTCTCTCTCTCTCTTCTCTCTCTCCTCCTCTCTCCTCTCTCTCTCTTTTTCTCCTCCTCTCCCTCTCCCCTCCCTCTCTTCCCTCTCTCCCTGCCTCCCTCTTCCTCTCCTTCTCCCTCACTTCTCTCTCTCCTCTCTCCTTACTTCTCTCTCCTCACTTCCTCCCTCTGTATCTCTCACTCTCACTCCCTCCCTGTCTCTCACTCTTACTCTCACTCCGCCTCTCTCCCTACCTCACACTCACCTATTAACTAAAACTTAATTGCAGATGACCATTGTAGAATGGGCAGTCCCTCCCTCCGGCCAGGTCTCTCCCCCTCTGCGAGAAGGTCTTTGCCGTAGCTGGAGTTACACGGGGGACATATTTGTTGGGGGTCTCTTCATGTTCTTCCTCAACGATCTTGCAAAGACCACTGTCAGTGAGCCAAGACCACACTTTTGGGATACCTGCAGGCCGAACATAACGGCAGAGCAGTGTAGACAGCCGTGAGTTCTTTTGTTTTGTTTTTTTCTTCTTCTTTCTTTCTTTTGTTCATTAGTTTGGAGTTTTGTTTTGTTTGGTAGTCAGTTGGAAAATGCATGGAAGAAAATTAAGGAAATGTTATGAATACTAGAGGGAAATGGTATATAAATGACTAGATGAATAGATTACTTGTCCCATTCTCCTTTTTGATATTTGTATGTGAGGTAATATGACTCATTGATTTAATATGTTTATTAAGAATATTTTTTAAGGCTGAGTTTCTTGCATCCTTGATGTTTTGTTTTGTTTTTTTTCAGATTTGTTTTTCTCTCATGGCGTGATTGCACAAATCCTCTGAAGCAGTCACATCCTCGACTTATAGATTCCATGAAGTCATTTCCATCAGGTCATGCATCCTTATCTGTCTTCTCATCCATATTTATGATGGTTAGTATTCTCAGAGTCAGAATAGATGTTACGGGCTAAAATATTATGCAAAAAAACATTTCATAGTTGATTCTTCACCGACAGAGCTATTCTTTTTCTTGTAATTTACTTGTTTCCAAAGATTTGCAAAGCTACATGGAATTGTGTTTACATGTCTTACAGAACTGAATATTTTCAATATTTTGTAATTAAAACTTCTAAAACATTTGAGATATGACACATGATTTTTGGATTTTTTTTTTTTTTTTTTTTTTTTTTTTTTTTTTTTTTTTTTTTTCTTAATGGTTGTGGTTGAGCATGTACAAGCCAACATGTTGGCAGGGTCATCAGTAAATGTTGTAATTAAATTAAATTATTATTGGAAGTATATTTAATTACTCTTAATATGATAACATCAGATTCATGGTGTCTTGTCTTCATATAGCATATCACCTTGTTTAGTCTTTTCATATGGCATATCACCTTTTTTAGTAAGCACAATTTAATGCAGTATCATTTACATTGCTTGCCTGATTGAAATTCCCTGTGCTACCATTTGAACCTGCTACTATGCAGAGATGTCATTAGCAAACCTTTCTCAATAGGCTGTGAGTTTTCATATGGCACATTGATATCTGTTGTCATGTTTTCTCTCTCTCTCTCTCTCTCTCTCTACTCTCTCTCTCTCTCTCTCTCCTCTCTCTCTCTTCTCTCTCTTTCTCTCTCTCCCTCTCTCTCTCTCTCTCTTTCTCTCTCTCTCTCTCTCTCTCTCTCTCTCTCTCTCTCTCTCTCTCTCTCTCTCTCTCTCTCTCTCCTCTCTTCTCTCTCTCTCTCTCTCTCTCTCTCTCTCTCTCTCTCTCTCTCTCTCTCTCTCTCTCTCTCTCTCTCTCCCTCCCCCCAACTGTGTCATCATTATTAGGGCTATGCATAATAACATAGGTAGCAAATAGTGCAAATACTTTTATGTTCTACTAATTTGGTTTGGCATCTTACTATATGTATGTTACTTTCCAATGTTCACAAAAAAACACTTACATATATTATTCAAGGAAAATTTTAAAGTGGATCAGTTCAATACACAAAAAAGTATTAGAAAATGATATGAAAACAGAAGGCACTGTCTGTCTCATAGCGAAGCACATCTTTAAGGCTCTGTACCTTAAAATGTAATTTGTTAGCTTTCATTCCTTAAAATTGCCTTGACTACCTATCTTATATACAGGGTTTCAGTAGCATTTTATAACTGCTTGAAAGATCCAACTATCTCCTGTATTTCAGTAAATAAGCAGAATAAATTTATGGATGTTTCTCTCTCAAAAGAACAGTAGAAATCAGTAGTAAACATGGTGGGCATATTCTCATTACTGATTAAAGATTATAAGTTGTAGCATAGATTTTTCTTTCTTCTTCTTTTTTAAGGTTGCATGATTCAAAATTGTAGATGTCTTGCATATGTATGCCATGAGTAATCTGTAAAAACCTACAACAAAATTATCATTTTTCATTAATTTCTTTATGTGAATTAGAGTATTTTTGATCACCTGGTCCTTATAGTTCCTTAAAAAAACAGGATTATCATGACCAAGCAAATTATGTCAGTCTCATTTGGTTCCTAACTAAAAAAATTAAGTAAACTTTAAAATATTTATCATTAGAAAGCTGTGATACACTGTAAAAGAAATATCAACTGATGTATTATATATACGACCCAGGTATACATCAAGCAAAGAATATGGGGTCGCTCATCACGGCTGTTGGCACCATGGATACAGCTATTGTGGGCAGTGTGGACCTTGTATTGCTGTCAGTCCCGTATAGCAGACAACCGACATCACTGGTGGGATGTTCTAGCTGGAGGCATTTTAGGAGCAGTTGCTTCCTTTTTAACGGTAAGATTTTTACTCTTTTTTTCTATTATCATTCTACACATCTTATGCATTTTACTATTATATTTGCATTATTTTGCATACTAAGATGTTTTACCAAAATCCAGGCATTAAGCTTACTTGACTGATTATCAGGTATGGTTTGTAGACATGGGCTACATGAATACTCGTGAGGTGTTAAATCTCTTTCCACCTTTGCAACGTTATCTCTTTTTCTACATAAACATATTTTGCATTTTTGCCTTTTTCCAAGATTTATATTTATTGTTTGATATGCTGAATCACGAAGGTAATACGTTGTTATCTTTTACAGACCCCATATTATCTCTAGGTAGTCTACAACTCTGTGCAATAACAATGAAAAATATGCTCTTATTTACATTTTTTCTTTTCCCCCTTCATTTCTTTTTTTTTATGTAATACACCTTATGGTGCCAATCTTGTCAGGCAGGAATGCCATCCTGACCTTGGCTCACAGATGATACATTCTACCCTCATTTACCTGTGGAAATAATGCAAGAGTCCCTTCCTAAATGCACACCGAGTGTAATCTTCCTCCAAAAGTTTTGCACACTTATTGCCTTCAGGCAAACTTTTCATGATGACCTATTCCAGCCACCATGGCCCTCAGCCAAATTTTTTTATGATGTGGCAGTCATATCATTTGGGTTAAAATGCAAATTTGGATAAACATACAGCTCACCACATGTAGAGAGATATCTGACACATTATCTCAGTTCAATTGGTAATGCATGAAATTTAGCAGTATTATATTTACTAATTCTTTCCCGTAGTGATTTTTTCAACTTTAGTGGTTTGTTTGTTTATTTATTTATTTACTTTCTTATTTATATATATTATAATTATTATAATTTTTTAAGTGCTACTGCTTGTTTCCAATACTGATAAAGCATATATCCAAGGACAAAAACATGTACATACCCTACTAAACGTGTGTGAATTTGGATGCTTTACAAATGGAAGAAAGGCCAAACAGAATGTTATACAAACTGGAGAGAGGGTAAATAACTACAATATTCACCTTTACACATTATGATTTCCCATTGTACACCTTTATACACTAATTTTTACCTCCTGCCAGTGTCAAGATTTGTCACTGGTGATGACAAGCAATCAAACAACCCAGTGCTCCTCTCCCCCACTCCCAGAATAAGTGTGTTGGTTAGTTACAGAAGTTTGGGTGTGGTTTGTTTAATTGCCTGGTGGTTACTTGCCAAGACTGCAGCTGCTAAAAAGGATGGAAGTTGTGCTTATGGCACATCACAGTTAGTATTTTTTTAAGAAAACTAACCAAAGGTGTGTTTGAATAATCAAGAGACACATAATGTGAGACTGGATGCTTGATGCCAAGAATATATATGCTAAAGAGTGTTGTGAGAACTGGATATGATTGGATGCACCACAGGATTATTGAAATGGAGTGAAAAGAAAATATTCAAAGTTGCATAAATCTTCATGAAATACAGTAATGCTTAAGAGATATGAATAAGCAGCAGTTAGGCATACTTATCCATTTTATAATTATATTTATGCTCATTAAATCATTATTACCTGAATTACATTTTTTATTACTGATTAACAAAAGTTACTTTCCAATACTTTTCCTTGTGCTTCAAGGAGGGTAAGCTTCCAGGTTTCACTTTAGTGGAAAGAATAAAGTTCATTTCTCCTCTTAGGCTTGGTACAAATTAAACCATACATTCAGCACTACTGTATCAGTTATTTTTCAGAAGTGTACTGTGCTGATCACAAATTGGTGTTGCTGAATTTAATTACAGTTTTTTTTTTCTTCATTCAACAGTTGCATTACTTTTCAAACTGGTTCAAGAGAGAGGATGACCTGGGAGTCTCTGGTGACCCAGGTTACCATCGGCAGGAGGAGAGAACCTCTCGTTATTCCCGTACCTCAATCAAACGTCTGATTTCAAGTAATTCAGACATGGATAACCACAACGACCTTCGTTTAGGTGACCGGGAACTAAGAGACATTAATGGCACACCATAGCTTTAATTGTAAAATGTTTTAGTCACAAATCTAACATTTAATTTCATTATGTGTATATATAATATTACGTCTACTTTTATGTTGTAAGATATGATTAAAAGCCTATATTTTTGTAATGTACGTATATTTTCCTCTGTTCTATGTAATAAAATTATCTACACCATTTTATTGACCATTGGATGAAGCCAGTAACTTTTATTTATTTTAAATAAAAGTTTTAGTATCTAGTACAATGTGTAAGTACACCATATGAAATATTTAGATTATCATGTTAATTTTGTAATAAAATAATAAAATATTGTAATGGTATTATATATTTCATTAATTTGTATTATGTCTGGACATGCTGTTTTGCAGGCTCTAGAATGACAATAATGTTGATTGTATGAATTAAAACTTGATTCATTATGTTTTTAAATATATGAAGTTATGAATATATGTAGCCGTTTATAATGAAGTACTTTATAATATTCATATTTGTCGGGACTATATTATAATTAATAATTTTATCTAAGATAAATGCATACTAATGGTGGCAAAATTGTCAATATTTTATAAATAAAATATGGAAAAAAATCATATTATTTGTACAATATTATTAACATGTGTGTTTCTATCATCCAGTTTTTGCCTCTAATGATATTATTCCTTGTCCTAAATCAAGTAAACATCTTTAAAGAATGCATCAATTTCATATAGCTGCAGTAAAGTGGTGTTTACATTTTCTCTTCTTCTCTCTCTCTCTCTCTCTCTCTCTCTCTCTCTCTCTCTCTCTCCTCTCTCTCTCTCTCTCTCTCTCTCTCTCTCTCTCTCTCTCTCTCTCTCTCTCTCTCTCTCTCTCTCACACACACACACACACACACACACACACACACACACACACCACACACACACACACACACACACACAACAACACACACACACACACACACACACACACACACACACCATTATTGATGTAAACCCCAAAAAGTGGTGAAATTCTCCTACAGTAGGATTCATACATACTTATTGTGTCTGCCTTCCTTATCCTCTCCTATGCTCCGAGGGAAGCACTATAGGCAAAAAAAGGTTATGGTTTAATTTAACTTTTATGCCGCATAAAAAACTCATTCCTAGCTTGGCAAATTTGTTTAAAGTTCTTTAAATAAATTATCAAGCACGAAATCAAGTATAACTTATCATCTTTCTTGTATTTGAATCAACACCAAAGATACTTTGCGGACGTAATTTACCACAAGAATGACTTACAGCAACATCAGGTTGATATGAGTACAAAATTAGGCCAGCACTACAGCCTCACACTTACACCATCCACACCTTCGATACCATCTTGCTACTAAATTTGATTGAGCTTAATAAAAAGGCTGGCTTCTTCTATGAAGACTATTCCTACCAGACTTGATTATTTCAATGAAACCGTTAACAAGTTGGTAGTATCATTATCCAATTACACCCCAAAGCCCTATCAAATATAGGTGTCCTCCAAGAGGCAAACGAGTATGTCACCTGAAATAAGATCCTAAGATAAAGCTTCTTGGAAAGTTAATGCAGTAATTAAATCAAAACACTTTGGAAGAAGCCTAGAGACTTTGACTTAGGTGAAAAATAAGCACAAAAGACACGAGCAGTTACGAAGTTAAGGTTTGGAACAGCGGTCTTTAAACGATGACGTAAAATACCACATCGCGTTGCCGAAATCCTGAGCGCCCCTCCCAAGCAGTGGGAATGTTGATACCTTCTTTGTTCTATCAAACATGGTTCATCTTATATTCAGACATCCTGGTTCATCTTATATTCAGACATCCTGCATATTGTTACGAAATAAGCAACCATCACTCTCATCCCAAAACCAGGATGCTCTAACGGATTTGGACCAGTTGCTCCGACATCCTGCCTTTCTAAAACCTGTGAAAGGATTCTTCTTACTCGTCTCCTCCAAGAGCTCAAAGATCAGATTCACCCATCAGTTTCTGGCATATAAAACGGGCAAGGAACACAAAACACAGTATCTAAATAGAAGTAATACACAGACTTCTCACTTCATAGATTTCAAGGGAGCATTCGACAGATCCTCCCCGACTGCAGTCCTCGTGACAGGTCTTTCAAAAGTGAAGGGCTAGCTTCTGCTTTGGATAATATTTTTTTCTTAAACGTCCGCCAAACGGATCGCGATGATGTTGGTATAGTTGGATTCCTCTCGCCGTCGACAATGCAAATTTTTTTATTGCGCAGAACTCCCCCCCCCTCCTAGCGACAAACTTGACCCATAGCAAAAAAAAATTGGGGTTAAATAACATTATAATACACTAAATAGGACAGTATACTATTAACAATGTATAATGTAGGGGTATTCGACCCCCCTACTGCTGCTCCCCAACCCCCGCCCTGAAAGACAAAGAATTCACCACGCATGTACGGTAAGATAGAGCATTTGACATAAGGGCATTTGCACATGCCCACGGAAGCAGCATACTAACCTGTGATATAGTCAGCATGGTATCCTAAGACTGAAGTGCCCACTCTCCTCAGCTTGTTATGCGCCGATAGCTTGGGGCATGAAGGTTATACAAGACTTATGGCAGGGTCAGCCACTAGATGGCAATAATTATCCCATTTAGTTACTGTACTGTGTCGTCATTTATTACATACAAATGTAGACTCGAGATCGAGTTTCCCTTCTGGAAACCACGAGATACCGGTTCACAGCAGGAATGATGTGGGACTGCCGGGGCTTCGCGTCGGTTGCTCAGCCATAACCGCCGCGATAGCCGCGTGTGGAGGGTGCTGCGGAGAGTGCTCGTACTCAAGGTCTATATAAGTACTTATGTAGACCTTGCTCGTACTCTGAAACGGACTCACTGCGCGAAGTCGCCACCCCAGCCCTCAGCAGCATCTATCAGTCAGGTCAGTACATTGTAAATACTAGGTTATATAGTAGAGTCTCCGTTTATGCGCTCTATCTTGTAGTGCTCTATCCTGCAGTTAATACCTGGAAGATTCTTTGAATAATTGGCGGAATAGGGAGGCAGCAGCCCTCCTCATGGGGTGTCGCAGGGGCCGCAGCCCCCTGCAGTGAATAGTGGTGTAATTTATTATCATTATGTTGAGAATGTTTTAATATTAGTGTTATTTAACCTCACATTTTCCCTGGAACCTTTCATCCCTTCCCCTGCAATCGGGCCCAAGCTTGTCACGAATGGGGGGGCGGGGCAGTTTAACCTACTTACTTGGATTGTAGAAGGCGAGAGAAATCCAACGATACTCAAAATCGTCGTGATCCGTTTGGCGGACGTTTTATAAAAAAATACCTTATCGATATTTAAGAAGAGCTAAAGTATGCTACCAATTCTAATTCACCATATGCACTGTAGGTGCTATAGTGCTTATGGCGAAAGAGTTAGGCATTCAGCAATGTGGAATGCTGTCCTTACTATTTTACATATACTTAAACCGTCGCCAGGCTAGTGTCTCCTGTCCAGAGATCCATTTACGGAGTAGGACTCTTTCCCAGCCGTAAATGGAGCCGAGACGCAAATCCCCACCCACCTGGAGCATCTATGAGAGAACCGTTGTGTTGGTCGTCGAAACGGCTATTATTATATAATTCTAGCTATAACACTAAACTATAGATTATACAGATTAAGTTCACCTGATCAACAAATATGAACACACTCCACGCTGACGAAACGGAGCTCACTTCTGAAATTATTTACATCCAGTTGGCCAAAGTAAAAGCCAGAGAATAGGGAATACCATCCTCATTCATCATACTAGCAGAAAATTAAGAATAACAATGGATGAAATCAACAAGAAACGTTTTGTAAAAGGTAGCACAGGTCTGTGACGATCGATAATATTTTACTCAATACTTAAGATATAACATTTTAGTGTCTCCAAGGGGACACTGCATAATGTGACCAATCCCACACAGTACCTGACAGACACTCAGCGTAGATGTCCGAGGATCCTCAGCCAAACGCGACGAGTATGACCGTTGCTTTATACATTCTCTTGGCAAGCTTAACAGTTAGGAGACCTATGCAGCATTATCCTATACAGTGAACCCTCGTTTTTCGCGGGGGTTATGTTCCAAAAAGAACCCGTGATAGGCGATATCCGTGAAGTAGTAACCTTTATTTTTTACAATTATTATACAATAAGATACTCTACAATGCATTGAAACCAAAGAACAAAACCTTTTCACAGGCCCAAACATTTGTTTAACAAATAAAAGTACTGTATAAATGTTTTTACAAATAACTACTGTACTGTGAAATAATAATTTTAATCATCAATACGAACAATATTGACACACAGGTAGAGAAGAAGCGGAGAGACTGTTTAGCCAATCAGAATGCAGAACACAATGCACAATGCAAATCCGTGAAGCAGCGAGAACGCGAAAAGTGAACCGCGTCATAGCGAGGGTTCACTGTACCGGTGGCTTTCTCTTTTGGGTCTCTTAGTCACATAATCAACTCTATCAAGACTTGGCATATTTCCAGATCTTGGGAACTGCTTTACATTCCAAGGTTAGCCGGACAAGTTATTGAAAAGACTGACCTCCCATATTTGCTATGCAGTTTTCTTGTTTTTACCACGAAAAAGTGACGTCACAACCAGAGAAGGCATAAAAGAACATGCCACTGGAATGGCCCTGGTCAAATTCTACCCAAACCATTTATTAGCCTGCATCCTAAAGATTCGCAAAAATACTGCATCAAGAATATACGTGCCGCATACCTTAATTAATGCAGACATCATCTGTTGATTGGCTGTATAAAGAGCATGTGTGAAGATTCTGGAGTCAGCCTCTTGGTTAAAGGACTTCAGCCTTCAAGGCTGATGACTGGAAGTTTCTGCTCTCCGGTGGTCACAACTACGATATTGTCGGGACACAGGTTCACTTGTCGCGTGGCTGTCTCACAGGAAACTTTTCCAGTAATGTAGTAGCCTAGTTTGGTTTTGTATGTCAATCCTGATAGATCCTTATCTCTGTTTTAACCTTATTTCATCCTTCAGGTTTGGAGTTCAGTAGACATCAAAAACGATGTCTGTTTGCTCATACTTTGTTAAGTATGTCTGGATCTTTTCATGATTAGCACGATATATAAAAAGCTGCGAGAACAGACGGCAGTCTTCTTTGAGTACCTGCTTCGTGTCAATGGAAGCTGCAGGTGCCTGTTGGCGAAAGAAGTCAACTCCGTCCTTTTTGATAGATCTATTAAAGGAAATCGCATCATCCAGACTATCTAAAAAGTCACTAAAGATAACTTGACCTTTCACAAAGTTCATGCAAACTCATCAGTAATGGGATGTGCACGTAATTTTGAAAAAAATACAAACCAAATACAAATATCTGTGATCAGACAGCTACTAAATCTGTTAATTTTAAGTCACGTAAAAGCCGCCCTCTGAAAAGCTGGCGGTCATATTGGAATACAGTTGGCATTAATGAGTTCTTTCAGTCAGTCTGCATTCATATTGATTGGATCGTTCATCTTGGATTTTCTGCTGGATAATGTAATTTTCTTAAATAGCACATCCTGGACATGATATGTACTAAATTTGGTGCTTGTATCACCAAGTGATAATTTTGATGGCATATTGACTTAATATACCCCACTAACCGCACAAGCGACATGACTGGTGGGCACACGATGCACGGGTACGAATTGAGCTGACATCACGGGCAAACGACTTGATAAACAAATAGTTTCCTTGCTTCCTCGCTGTGACGTCGCCTTTACAGTTGCCAGCCGAAGTGTCGAGCATGCTCACTTATGTGGACAGGCCTATAAGCCGCTTGCATGCAAGAGGTGGCATGTCATACATGGCAAATGGCAGGTGGTAAGTGGCAAATGATACGTGGCACGATGATTTCAGACCAAGGTTAGACATGGCTTATGTCACTTTAATCACAGAATGGGATCATAAGAGGTTGACGACGTTATAGTTGTTCTAAGGCCTAGGTAATCTTATGACAATAATCTGTCACTTGGAGGACTACAGTGGATGACTTTAGGGACAATGTGAGGCAAACTTGTTTCATTACCTTGAAAATGCTTGTGAGGAAAAGATTTAAATAGCTCTACTACTGAGAGTATTTTTAAGGTTCGGAGATGATTTATTATACAAACATTTGTACTTCCCTGGATAGTTTAAATGTTGTGCTGATTGGTTCATTGTCTGGAAGAGGTATAGCTGTGTACGAGAGAAGTCACAAATTGCATTGTTTCCTCCTGCAAGACCACATGTGATTACCCTTTCATTCAAAGCCTCGCTCACTGGGCGAGTGAAGTCGTGTTGTCAAATGTGTTTAGCAGAATCTTTCTAGACACTTAAAAATTACTTTGTGTGTGCCATACATATTTTATAGGATTTCAGAATTTTCATGTTAACTTTGCTAATAACAAGTCTGGCTGTATAAGCTCCATCAAAATCTATTGTCCAAGGTGGCAGGTTGCACGCTTGGCGTGCCACGCAGGTCACATGTGGCAAATGTTACATGTTTGTGTATAAGTTTCGTGCGACGTGCCACCTTGATGTGAAAGCGCCTTTATGCATAACTTAGGTTGCTTTTACACCAAGGTGACACGTAGCAGGTGGCAAGTTGCAAACAATTCGTGGCATGGTGATTTCAGACCAAGGTTACACGTGGAACTCTCAGTGTATAAGATGGCATCGAAGGTTGACGATGTTATTGTAAAGGAGTGCCGAATTCTGTGGTACCGACCATAGAGTGGTTGTGGCTACCATTCGGGTCAACTTCAAAACCCCAGCTCATCCAATGACCACCCTAGGGTGTTTCATTTGGACAGGCTGAGGGAGAGGGAGTGTGATCGGGGGTTTGCTGAGGCAATCTCTGGATGCTTCACAGTGCTCGATAATCTGACGGACCCTGTACTTATATAGGATACCTTCTTGATTAGCTCAAGAATCGATTGGGGAACACCCGAGAGCAAGACAGAATTTTATCTCACAAGAGACAGTGGACACCGCAGAAACTTGTCGTATGGCTCATCTGACAGGGGATCAGGATTTGCATGAATCTCAGGTGCTCAGAACTCGGTCGCTGTTAAGGAACAATTTATTAGGAGTCTTGCAGAGGAGGTCGAAGGACATTTCTCATTAGATGACCTTCGTCCTGTATACCAAGCCCTGAGAAACCTGAAGTAAAAGCCCTCTTCACAGGTGACAGTGGTTCGTTTAGTAAGTGGCCAGATCGTCTCAGATCCTGTTGCGGTGCAGGAGCATTGGACTGAGTATTTTGAGCAGTTGTACCAGGCTGACCCAGTAACAGTTGACTTGGATGCAGGGAATGCCGAGAGTCCGATGTCAAACCCACTCATCAGTGAGGATCCACCCACCTTAACTGAAGTTAGGGGGACGATCTCCAAGCTGAAGGGTGGTAAAGCAGCAGGTATCTGCGGCATTCCAGCTGAACTGTCAAAGGTTGGTGGTGAGCCATAGCACAGAGGTTACATGCTGTCCTGGCTGCCATCTGGCGGTCCGGTACTGTTCCTCCTGACCTGTTGAGGGGTGTGGTCATCCCTCTCTGGAAAGGGAAGGGGGACCGATGGGACTGCAGCAATCACCGAGGCATCACACTGCTTAGTATTCCAAGCAAGGTTCTTGCCCACATCCTTCTGAGATGTATCAGAGACCACCTACTGAGGCACCAAACGCCAGAAAAATCTGGATTCACTATTGGTAAGTCCACAACAGACCGTATCCTTGCGCTTCAGGTCAATATAGAACACCGTCGTGAGTTTGGGCGTGGGCTGCTTGCAGCCAACATCGACCTCAAGATGTCATTCGATACAGTGCATCAGGAATCACTCTGGGAGATCCTGAGACAGAGAGGATTACTGGACTAATAGTAAGTCTATATACTGGTGCTGTAAAGTGTGGAGCTTCTTTCCTGTTAGTTCATGAGTGAGGCAAGGCTGGACTGGATACTGGACAGAGCTACTATTCTAAGTCATTGTGGAGCAACTCTGGTCAATATCAAGGTTGATGACCTTGACTTTGCTGATGTTGCTATCCTATCTGAGTATGGAAACCTTAGTGATGGCGCTTGATGCATTTAGTAATGAAGCGAAGCCATTGGGTCTAGAGGTCTCCTGGACCAAAACCAACATCCAGGACTTTGGGGAACTGCTAGGAGAACCTGTTCGGTCTGTACGTGCTTGCGGCGAGGACATTGGAGTCACAGAGAGCTTTACATACTTAGGTAGTGCAGTTCATAACTCTGGGCTGTCAGACCAGGAAGTCAGCAGACGGATTGGGCTGGCAGCATGGGTCATGAACTCTCTCGACAAGAGTATTTAGAGATGGTACCTGAGCAGAAGGACCAAGCTATGCATCTTAAAGTCCTTGATAATGCCAGTTTTGCTATACGGTAGTGAAACCTGGACATTATCTTGTCCCTTGGAGTCTTATCTTGAAGCCTTTTGTAATAGGTCCTTGCGCCAGATCACGGGGTGGGACCATATGTCCAACCAACGGTTGCACTGAGACTGGCTCAGGACCTGTTATCTGTACAATATGTGATCGCCAGCTATACGGCCACCTGGCTCACTTTCCTCAGGATGATCTTGCCCACCAGGTTGTCTCTGCTCGAGACAACCTTGGGGGGAGGAGGCCTGTGGGACGACTTAGGAAGTCGTGGCTTGGGCAGATCGACCAAACCTGACGTGAAGAGCTCGAGATGGGCCGAGTCCCTGCCAGGCGGCTTGCCATGAGGGACCTTAGGTGGAAGTAAAGGGTGGATGCGGTTATGCGCCCCCGTTGACGCTAGCTTCTGGATGATGATGAATACCCTGAATATACTTGTGAAGAAAAATATTTTGGACAATTCCATCTTTGGAAGTATTTTTATTGTACTTAGATTATGTATCATTTGTATTTCCTCACAGTTCCATTGAAAATTTTCTGCCGTGTCAACATCGGAGGTCATTAGCTGCGTATACAAAATATAACAGGGCGAGGCTTGATGCAGAATCCCCAAATAAGGAAGGTTATACAACATTATGACAGTCTTGTGGCAAAAAGGTATTAGATGAATTAACAAGTAGGA